CTGGGAGGGCGCGAGAATCGTAGAGTGCGCTTATTTTGAATGTGGCTTGTGCCAACATGCACACATGCAAAATAGCCTGATCTGGTACATCTTTTTTTTTCATAGAGTTACGCAACCAGACACTTGCTTGTAATCATAATACGGAGGAAACAAGTAGAAAGCCAAAGAAAAAATCAAGGTCTCACATACCTTGGTAATCGATGTTATGTGAAGCATGCGGATGGGAGGTGCATGTGTTATATTTCTTTATTGGGTGAGACGTTGTGAAGTGGTGCTAAATATAGGTATAACTTCACGCACACACGCTCGTTAAACAGTCGCATGTGTTTTATGTTAGCAGTTTACAGTATCATAATCATTCCAACAGTAACATGCATATTAGATAGACCAGAAGCGGTAAGCTGATATGAAGCACCAGTGTTTGCACTTGGGGGCGCGGGGAAAGTAGCCCTCAACACTGCTACACAAGTCAACTTCAGCGATATTGCCTAAATACAGTACTGTAACTCGACATGAAGGCTGTGTCAAACGAGTACATAGAAGTACAAAGTTGGATAGCCAGTACTGCAACCACAATTGACGTTACGATAACACCAGGCTCCATTTGAAAAGTATATACGAGGTGTGGCGTGGCTCTGTCACAGAACACTTCATTATCACACAGATTGATGCTGGGATACTGACATTTATAGCTTGCATTAGTCTCATCAACGCTGCCTATGGTAGCCTTTTCTTAGCGCTCAAGCGTTAGTTACTCATCTGTGCTGTCGCCATTCCTGCGTAGATACTGAGTGTCAAACACCCGTGACACATACTCGCATACCAAAGGCACATACCTACCTCCGCGTATGTGCAACTGTTTTAGAGCTAAAGCTGTTATGAGATCACAACTCACGTCATGCCCAGCGCTATAGTGTTCCGCTGCCACCGTCACCACTGTCTGTAACCAATCTCGCACGAATTAAGAAAAGAAAAAAACTAGTACCAGGGACACAGCACGGCACGAGCTCGGTTTCACTGCGTGCCAGACCAGTATTCTACCACTGAGCCACGCCAGTGCTTGGGACGTGTTCGCAAACTTGCCTTAGGCAGGCTTGATGTCGAGAAAGGAATCGCGCTAATATGAGTAATGAAGCGTTTTAGAACAGCAAAAGAGCAACCATGCTTCACAGAATGTGAATAGCGTAACAAGTGGGTCATCCGACGCTCCAACCCATTACAAAATATTTTTCTTGATCACCTATTATCTGTGGCACATACCAGCTTCAGGCATAATTCCTCTTTATCGTCAACCACTGAATCAGTAATTGGTACAAAATTTCTTGCAAGTGTTTAGTGGTAACCACGCTTTTCAGAAGAATGGCGAAAAGTAGAATAGCAAACGACTAACCAGATATTATTATTTATAATGCCGTAGTGAATATCAAGCAAGTGTGCTTGCAGCGGTTAAACAATCAGTGTTTAGAAAAGGCTCATAAAGGCCACTCTTCTCTTCTTCATAAAGGCCACTCTTCCTCCCGCACATGCCTGCCATTTTTTCGAAAATAGTTTGATATGAGGGGTTTAACGTCCCAAAACCACCATATGATTATGAGAGACGCTGTAGTGGAGGGCTCCGGAAATTTTGGCCACCGGAACGTGCACCCAAATCTGACCACACGGACCTACAACATTTCCGCCTCCATCGAAAATGCAGCCGCCACAGCCGGGATACGGTTCCGCGACCTACGGGTCAGCAGCCGAGTACCTTAACCACTAGACCACCACGGTGGTGCTTTCGGAAACAGTTTGACCACGTACGCGACAAGATTGGGACACTCCTTATGTCGTGACAAGCGAGCCTTGGTCATAAAACCATCTTACCCTCCCACACTAATTTTGGTGTGCCTCATGTTAAGGGGGGGGAGGCAACATGAATGAGATAATTCCTACGTAGGCGACCAGATAGATAGATAGATAGATAGATAGATAGATAGATAGATAGATAGATAGATAGATAGATAGATAGATAGATAGATAGATAGATAGATAGATAGATAGATAGATAGATAGATAGATAGCAGAACCCGCATACAGTGGGAATCGATGGTGTACGAAGAATGGGGAAGGTTGAAATGTCACATTCAAATTATTAAGAGTTGCGAGGCAGTCATAAACTGTGCCGCACACTACTTCTATGTCATGATTATCATGTTTGCTCCTGAAGTATGTGTTCGTCGTCCATTCACATCACGTAATACCAAACTTGGTGTCTGTGAAGCTAGCGAAACGTCAGCGAGCACGCTATGAGCGTAGCATGTAGTCACGTTTTACGTGACACACATGTTATGATTATCATGTTTCGACATGTCATTTACCTTCATCATCTATTCACGTCACGTAACACCAAATTTGGTATATATTATGTATATAGATAGATAGATAGATAGATAGATAGATAGATAGATGAATAGATAGATAGATAGATAGATAGATAGATAGATAGATAGAGATAGATAGATAGATAGATAGAGATAGATAGATAGATAGATAGATAGATAGATAGATAGATAGATAGATAGATAGATAGATAGATAGATAGATAGATAGATAGATAGATAGATAGATAGATAGAGATAGATAGATAGATAGATAGATAGATAGATAGATAGATAGATAGATAGATAGATAGATAGATATGGTCAATTTCGCCGAAGTTGGCTAAGTTGTGCTTGGCATTTAAAATTAACTACAACATTTTAAGTAAATTTTCATCGTAGCGAAGGTGTTTCGGCTTGGTTCGAGCTCTGGTTGACCGAAGAACGGTTGGTAATTAGGAAGAGTCACTCAGTGTTTCTGTTAGCTCAGTTTCTTTACGAATCCTGGCACTTTGCAGGTCAGCAGCCACTGTTGGGCCCGAGCTGTGTGCAGCTTCCAACTCTTGGACGGGTAGTCCTAGGCTATCGGCTGCCTCACAGCTTTTCAGGCTGCTCTCGTAGCCGTTGTCGTTTGCACAGCGTTTGTGTGTTCGCAGCAAATGCTGTCGCAGAGGACTGAGGCGTGAAAAAACATTTCGTGGAACGGGGAGTTGAGAAGAAAGGAAAGAGCAGTGCCAGCTACCAACTGTTTAATGACAGTCTAAGAAACGTACAGGAAAAAAAAGAAGACAATTCCACCCATGCGTACACAGCCAACAAACGCCATACAGCGTCATTGTCAATGCAATAAGCTATCGAAAAACCAGATTTCAGCGGGATACAACGTTATATGTGAGTCACTGATACAATCGGGCTCTTTTTTATATAAAAAGCTTCGAGGAGCTTTCTAGCTGTTTGTTTACTACTACTACCGAGAATCACGGTTTCTCAAATTAAGGCACACATTCGCAGAAACATGGGCATGATCACTTTTGTCTGAACTATTAGCATGTTCCCTCAATCTATCATAGATGCAGCGTCCAGTAAGAGCGATGTAGGACTTGCCCCAACTTAGGGTTCTGGCTCCCACACGGAAGCCTAAATGCCATTTTCTGTACATTTCGATGTTTTCGTTCAAACAATGTTTTCGTTCAATGAACGAAAACTTTCTTTTAGTTCAGTTTCTATACGTCATTTTTACCTCCAATCATGTGCTACGTGTTATAACTTAGTGCTTCCGTTTTTCATATTATGGGCCCGTTGGGTGAGCATCTTTATTTGAGCATCAAATTATTTAGACATTGGGAAGGTAAAAAATGTCACCTGGTGCTTTGGGGCTGCAAACCGTGACCAGCCGGGAAAGGTGACGAGTTGCTCAGGCCAGTTGGGGAACATCTATTCGTGTCTGAGATTCATGTATTCCTGTTCCGTTCTATCCTTGACGCATGACAGCACATTATGTTTCATACCATTTTAAAAATTTTGCATGCGTGAAGTGGCGATGGGTGAGATCATTAGCTAAGTTATTCTTTAACAGACACGCAATCTTTAGCAGACACTCTGATTTTTATGTTAGAGTGGATTACTGTTAATATATGGTTGAAACCGAATGAAATGATAATTAACAGTGTACATCAAGCACTACAAGTGATTCTGATGCCAAGATGAAGATACTCTCACTGCCACTGATAATGTGTTAAACGTTTGTGGTGAATATTTAGGTATTTAGCTATGCATACAAAAATAATTTCTAGGATTTTAGGACGTCTGAGTTTTATTTTAGTTTGTGATGCGGTGCTCGAAAAATTACTGAATTCTAGAATTATTGCAATAACTTGAATGTTTTATATTATTGCACAAAGTGAGTGAATATATTACTCCCAGTAATAGTTAGACGCAACCAGTTAAGCAAAAGAAATCATTGAAGACAATGTCTATTGCTTTTCGAAAAGAAGTGGAATAATTGCTGCCTAAATTGAAACGAATTAATGGTTGACAAAAAAGGCGCGTTTTCTTCGGTGGGGTTCGAATCTTCGAAGTTTCACATTGCTTGAACTGCCAACAGAATACGAAGATGCTTCCTTGTCCGCTTTGCTGGGCATTTTTGTGCGTGCGATCCCCGGTGGTGCTAGGCAGTGCTATACGTAGCGATGGCAGCGAGTTCCAGAGGTCACTACATGGCACGCGAACATTTGCACAAATTGGCAGGCGACCGATAAACCCTCGCATGTTACCTACAAGAAATCCAATATGCTGGAGCCCTCGCTGTGAATGAGTGAAAAGAGGGGATTGCTAGAGTGACTTGTTTCGTTATTAGACACAGTCGAATGAACAGAACCCATAATTAGGCCAAGGAAGGCGCCGGACAATGCTTGCTTTTTTAGACTATAGTGCATAATTTTGACGAAGTGTAAAGCGAATGAAAGTGCACAAAAAGGCATCAGTTTAGTTGGCGAAAGTTTCATTGCAATTATGCCTCTAAATGTTTTTGATCGCATCAAATGTAGCATGCCTTTTTTAGAAGTTCACCTCCAGATTCTTCGCGAAGGCGACAAATGTCCATTCCTTTAGTTATCTACAGACCGGTATCTTTTTTTTCTACAGTGCATACTTCAGAAGCTGCAGAAAATCAGCTGGGAGCGGTTCTCACAGTCGTCTCAGATATTTTCAACAACGTTATGGCAGTCGTCGCCGCCGGAAAGAAGGAAATCACAGGCCTGTTCGGTCTCGGACCACGCGTTCGTGCTCTAACGCCCCTTGAGGTGGTACCTGCGTAAATTCAAGTTCTGCTATGAAATGCCGGGCGTTTGCCTCAGGCATAGCTTCTTCGGCCCAAGAAACAGAAGAAACAGAAGACACAGAAGCTGGTGTTTTAGCCGTTGAAGTCTTTTTGACTTCACAGCAAAATTTTGTCTGGCTTTTTCCGAAGTGGTATTTAAAGCTGACCATTGAGTTAGTGGCAGGCAGTCATTTTGTAGAAAGAGCGTTTTATTAAAACGAAGTCATATATTGAATGAACAGTATTTTGTCTCTTGTTTCTGCAAGCCCTTGTTGGCGTGTGCATTCTTTCTTTACACAAATAAATTCTACGCAAAGTCGGTGCTCTTGCACGTGTGATTAGGTGGCATTGTTTAAGAAATAACTGATATGTCGCCAGGAAAAAGTAATTTCGTAGTCTAGTTTGCTCTTGCGCAGCCAGCAGGTACCCACACATCACTTAATTCACGGGTTGAACTGTTTTTGGGGTGTAACTCTTTCACGTAAATAAGGGGGCTTTAGCACGCACTTTCTGTGTAAATACTTCTGCTTGAAGTCTTTTACTTTGAGAGTCTACCGCTTACTTGATTTGTCTGGTGCAGAAAAAATCACTACATATTCATGGAGTGAATGATGATCAGTGGGGCGCAGCGTCCTTCATTCCATCACTGTCTGTCTGTCTGTCTGTCTGTCTGTCTGTCTGTCTGTCTGTCTGTCTGTCTGTCTGTCTGTCTGTCTGTCTGTCTGTCTGTCTGTCTGTCTGTACATACATCCGTCCGTCTGTCCGTCCGTCCATCCGTCCGTCCGTTCACTCCATCAAAAGCACGGAAGGGCGTACGCTTCGCCCTACCCATCATCATTCACTCCGTGGATATGCTGGGAGTTTCGTATTGTAAAAACCACAAATGCCATCTAGTTGTGTTACTTCCAAAGACAAATGCACACAACGCCATCTAGTGAGCAATTTTTAAAAGTAACTACAAGTGACTACTACTACAGCATACAACTACTACAAGAAAAGGACCCACTTTTTAAGGAGCTTCACCCCCAAAACTCCAAGTCTGCATGAAAAACGCACCACAGTAAAAGCGACACCAGCCAGAGCTGTATTTCAGAAACCCGTTGTAAACTCTCTTGGGGGTATAATACAACTACACTTCCAAAGCACCCCCCTTACCACAGTCATAATTCCCGACTAGTTGGGAAGCACGGATTGTGTTATTACTCGATGTTCTGCGGAGAAGCAAGGTAGCCGCCTGGCTGCACATCACTGGGGCATCACGTGCACTTTGTTGATGCGGTCACCGATTACGATAAACAATAATGGCTGAGCCTTTTATTGTGGCTTGGAAAATTCAAACAGACCACCACTTGTGTAAATCGCATTGTGTGACACAGGGTAGTTATTTTACTTTCCTACCACAAGATATTGTTACGTAAAATTGACACGAGGTGTGTCTATTTAAAATCTATATTCAAACTGATGCGTATCACGTCAACTAAGATGGAGGACAGCACGCACAACCGACAGACCACTTCCTCGTTGTCGTCGTCTGACCCCTGATATGTCAGCTACGTAGCATGGTAAAAGCGCCCTCTCGGTGCACATTAACTACGGTCTCCAGTAGGCAGGTGGTAAGGTTTCAGCCTGCTGACGTGCACAACATCACTGGGTGTAGTGGCAGGCAGGCTTGTGGTCTCAAATGCAGGAATGATCTCATAGGTGACGTTGGTTACCTAGTGGATGATACGGTAAGGACCCATGTAGCGAGACAACAACTTCTCGGATAAGCCAACTCGACGAACTGGGCACCACAGGAGAACAAGAGAACTGGGTTAGAAGCGAACGTCAGCATGCCGGCTGTCGTAGATGGCTTTCTGGGTGGCTTGCGAAGCCGAAAGTCTAGAGCGGGCGATCTGACGTGCATGGTCGGCACGAGCAATAGGGTCGCGTGCATATTTGGTTGTAGTGGTTGGAAGTAGGGTGTGGAATGGTAACGTCGGATCACGGCCATAAAGCAAAAAAACGGTGAATAACCAGTGGTGTCGTGGCGCGAAGAATTGTACGCGAAGGTGACGTGAGGTAGCGCGAGGTCCCAGTCATGGTGGTCGGAGGACACATACATCGCGAGCATGCCCGTGAGGGTCCGAATTAGTCGTTCGGTAAGGCCATTTGTTTGGGGATGGTAGGAAGCGGTCAGGTTGTAATGCGTCAAGGAAAAGCGCAGAAGATTGTCTATTACACGAGACAAAAATGCGCGGTCGCGATCCGTGAGTAATTGGCGAAGAGCGCCATGGTGTAGGATGACGTCGTGGAGCAAAAAGTCCGCAACGTCATTAGTGGTGCTGGTGGGGAGCACTCGAGTGATGGCATACCTAGTCGCGTAGTCTATAGCAACGGCGACCCACTTGTTACCTGATTTCGACTCGGGAAAAGGACCGAGAAGATCTATACCAACACGGAAGAAAGGTTCGGTTGGGATGGAGATTGGTTAAAGAAGTCGAGCCGGGGGCGCAGTATCGCTTCCTACGTTGGCATTTATCGCAGGAGGACACGTAACGGCTAACGGACCGGGCGTGACCACGCAAAAAGAAGCGGCGACGCACGCGGTCGTACGTCCGAGATACACCCAGATGACCAGCAGTTGGTTCATCATGAAGCTCGTGCAGCACCGTTGAACGCAAATTTTTCGGCACGACAAGAAGGAGCTCAGGGCCTTCTGGCTGGAAGCTACGACGGTACAGCGTGCCATTCAGGAGGACGTACATGCGAAGTGACGTGTCGTTCGGAGCAGATTCGAGATGGTCATTACGTTGTCGCAGAGAAGCATCACGACGTTGTTCATCACCAATCTGAAGAAACTGGGACATTGACATGACGCTGAGGCTAGGCTCAATGTCTGGTTCGTCGGGCTCATCAACAGGGTAGTGGGATAAGCAATCGGCGTCCAGATGGAGATGTCCAGACCTATAAGCAACCGAGTAGGAATACTCCTGTAGGCGTAATTCCCAACGACCAAGTCGTCCAGTGGGGTCCTTCAGAGAAGAAAGCCAACACAGCGCGTGATGATCTGTGATGACACGGAAAGGGCGGCCATACAAGGACGGAATTTCGAAACCGCCCAAACAAGGGCGAGACATTCCCGTTCTGTTATAGAATAATTGCGTTCAGACTTAGAAAGCAGACGGATTGCGTACGCGATTACACGGTCGTTGCCCCGCTGAATTTGCGCCAAAACTGCACCAATTCCGTGACCACTCGCATCTGTTCGCACTTCTGTAGGAGCATTAGGGTCGAAATGTGCAAGAATAGGAGGTGTCGTTAGAGCGGTAATTAGCTGAGAGAAGGCGTCAGCTAGAGGAGGGCCCCAACAAAATGGGACGTCTTGTTTGAGAAGGTCGGTGAGTGGCCGTGCGAGTGCCGCTAAGTTTTTCACGAACCGCTGAAAGTAGGAGCAGAGGCCCACAAAACTGCGAACATCATGGACAGAGCATGGACTGGAAAGTTTGTTACAGCGCGTACTTTTGCCTGGTCTGGCCGTACGCCGGCAGCGTCAACAAGGTGACCCAATACGGTAATTTGACGAAGACCAAAGTGGCACTTGGAGGAATTGAGCTGCAGGCCGGCCCGTCGAAATATGGATAGAAGGGTCGAAAGGCGTTCAAGGTGGGTTGCAAAGGTAGGTGAAAAAATGATCACGTCGTTCAGGTAACACAAACATGTTGACCATTTAAATCCTTGTAGTAGCGTGTCCATCATTCTCTCGAAGGTCGCTGGAGCGTTGCAGAGACCGAATGGCATGACCTTGAATTGGTAAATACCGCCAGGGGTAACGAAGGCGGTCTTTTCTCGGTCCATGTCATCTACAGCAATTTGCCAATAGCCATATCGCGGGTCGAGAGATAAAAAGAAGGTGGCGCCATAAAGGCAATCAAGGGTATCATCAGTGCGTGGTAGAGGGTACACGTCTTTTTTGGTAATTTTGTTAAGGTGGCGATAATCAACGCAGGAACGCCGTGAGCCGTCTTTCTTTTTTACTGATACCACGGGAGACGCCCAAGGGCTCGTTGATGGTTCGATTACGTTTTTCGTAAGCATTTTGGCCACTTCTTTCTGAATCACTTCTCGCTCGGACGCTGACACGCGATACGGCCGACGGTGAATGGGCGAAGAGTCACCAGTGTTGATTCGGTGAGTGACAGTTTTAGTCTGGCCCAAGCGACGATTGCCGGTGTCGAAAATGTCACTGTACGAGGCTAAAACTTCACAGATAGCGTCGGCTTGTTGAGGCGACAGCTCCGATGCAATCATGTTTCGAAAAATACCATCGTCTTAGCTGGGTGACCTTGAGACAGCGCTTCGATGATGAGCAGATACAGCGACAACACTGACATCGTCCTCTGTCATGGCAGTTAGCTGGGCTAGAGACATCTGGCAGGGCAACACTTGAGGGGTGAAACCAAAGTTAAGGAGCGGAAGTAACACACAGTTATCCGCTATGGTCGCGATAATATAGGGCACAGTAACACTGCGCGTCAGCCGAACTTCAGTAATTGGCGTAACGATATAATCACCGTCAAGAACGGGAGGGGTCGATGACAAAGACACGTACGTGGCGGTTCGAGGTGGCAGGCGAACGAAAGTAGCTGGGCTCAACCGGCTGGTGGGCTTTGCAGAGTAGTCGGCAAAGATTGGAAGATCAAGGCTGAGGGTACCAGATGAACAATTAATTAGGGCCGAGTGTGCCGAAAGGAAATCAAGGCCAAGTATGAGGTCTTGAGGGCAGCAGGCTAGCACGGCAAAAAGTACCACGGCGTGACGACCGGCAATGATGGCATGAGCAGTGCACATTTCGATTACTGGTACAGTACCACCATCGGCAACACGCATTGCCTGCGTCGTAGATGGTGTCATAATCTTTTGTAAGCGGCAGCGTAGAGAAGCGCTCATAATAGACAGGTGCGCATCTGTGTCAATGAGAGTGGTCACAGGAAACTGATCGACTTGTACTTCAAGCAAGCTGTGGTGCGTGGCAAGCGTCAGTAGAGAATTTTCGGTCGTCATTGGTATTGCAGCTTCACCTCTATAAGCAGCAGTATCTAGTTTTGCTGCTGCGGTTGTCCAGAGAAGCTCGGCGAGGAAAAGCGCCGAGGTGGCGAAGAGCGGGATTGGCGACGTAGCGGTGACGGGGACCGAGAGCTGCGGCGACCGGACGAAGGGGCGTCAGGGTAGCGGCGACCGGGCAAAGGGGTGTCAG